CTATAATTTAATATAGTTAAAGTTTAAAATGAATGGCAAATAGAATGGTTACTTCGATATATTTAATCATAATGATTTATTTAAAATCACGAACAAATGGCAATAGCTGTCGTTAAAAATATATTAGATATACAAGTAAAATCTTACGGGAAGCTCAAGGCAAAGATGCCCTCGAGCAATAAAATGCGAAGATGCCTCTTAACTGAAGCTTCCACGTCAATACCATTGATATTCTGAGAGTGTTGCAATGATGATGATGGCGATGGTTGTTGCTGTTTTTGCTCGTACGATCCTACATAGTTGACATCAGACTTGCCTGGCTGTCCTTGACCATTTATAAGGTTATTAGCTAACCCAGAATCAGATTGGCAAGGTTTAGATGAGTCCCCCCAACCAGCCCATGTACGGTAGCCACCACGAATGCATTCGTCGTTGCGCCATCGATTCACATCCTCCAGAAGTTTAGCCCAGTCAATGGCTTGGAGAACTTAGATTGTGTATAAAATATATTAATATTTGTGTTTTTGTAGATAAGCATATATACAGGTGTGTTGGCAAATATGAATATGGTTGTATTCGTGTATCATACTCAAGCGAAAGCATAGATGAAATACTGATTGCTATTACTTAAAAGACGTTGTAGTTATGGTAAAATTTTTTATTGGTTAGCTAGAGCTAGATGCATTAGTATGAATGCAATTTTCGAAAAATAATAGGAGCCGCATTTATTGTATTAAGAAAGTATGTAAAAAAGGCAGAATTATATCGTCTAAAATGGACTGGCTTAGGATTGTTACAATTTATAGTGTCTACTAATACACAAACGATAGTGTAAATTAAAAAAATAAATGGAGGACAAAAGGAGAGTCAATAAGATATGATATCATAAATACCGACTACTTTTCCATAAGGAGTTATTCTAAAAAAATTGAAGAAGATAAAGTAATAACTCACTATCTAAATTTGGGCTTCCAGTCAACGGATCTCGAATATGGTTTGGACTATCCTGGTCCTTGATTTTGATATAAAATGCAAACAAAAGTGGACGGAAATAAGTTCACAAATTTTAAATTACCGCTCTCTACAACCTCTACCTAGTAAACTTTTTGGAGACAAAATAGAATAAAGATAGAAGTTGTTTGACCTTGTTTTCGCAACTCGGTCAA